TTACGCTTCAAAAATCAAGAAAATACATAGAATGCAATCCACAATGCTAATAGAAACGGCGTGGTAGACCACAGACAAAACAAAGATCTGCAGATTTCATATTGATTCCATAATTATTTTAAAGCGATCAATACTCAATTACGTATGTAACGTGCTGATAATTCAGTTAGTTTCAATAATAATAGCTGACTACCAATCGAGCCCTTATACAATAAATTTCCCTGTGAGAAAACACAAGAAATACCGACGAGTTCCAGCTTTAGTAAACCCTCCTTATAATACATGTACGTATTTAACTATGTAGTTTTACTTTCTAAAGATTTTTAAAGTTGCGTGTCGGTCAGAGAGGATAAGGTTGTAAAATTGTTTAAAAAAATTTTGCCGATTGCCGATTTAAAAAATTCAAAAGGTGAAGTTGAAAAAATATGAATAATATAATATAAGGTTTGCCTTTTGTTTGTTGCACAAAAAAACTGCCTCCTAGTCTTCATAAAGTACATAAATTTTTAATCATGTCTTTCTTGCTGTTGGGTCATGATCAGTTATTATAACTTACAAGGTCGCAAAAATTGAGTGAAAAATAATAACCTTGGAAAGCTCGGTGAGCGCCACAATAATAGTCTAACATCTGTTCCTTATCACCTGAAGAAGAAATCGATTTAAGTTTGTAAATAATTTAGAACAATGTTCACGTATATGAAACCATCGAAAACGGTGAGACTGGTTGACTTTATATCTTATCGACAATTTATTATCTTTGGTACTTTGCATATTTCTTGCAACGATTTACCAACTTGCGATTGCGTAGTTTTTTTTTTATCAATTGCTTGGCTTCGCTGAGGAGAAATTAGTTTTCATGTAAGATAGGAAACTTCATCATGAACGACGTGAAATTATTCTAAAGAAATCAGGTTTTCTTTGCGTTCATCACTGCCAGCTACTGTTTAATAATGCCAAATTTTTATGTTTGTTTTAAAAATGTGCAGGCTTAAGCTTTGTCTATGTGAACTATTTTTCACCGCAAAATTTTATTAAACGAGCAAACGCTCTATTAACCGCTATTATGAACCGGCTAAAATATATGTGAACTAAAATCGTTTAAGAGTTTTTCTTTTAGTTTCCATGAAATTTTAGTAAAAATCTCGGCGTACTTCAGAGTAATAGTGTTCAACTGCGAAAAGTTCATAATAGACTATCTAACGAATTACAAATATGGCACATATTCAACATCAATGCTTCTAAGAACACAAAAAAGATTTTGTGTAAAGTTTTTGCCACTACACATGGTTTTTCGCTAATATACTGATTATAATGAGGCTATTATCCTACGGATATTTAAGCAAAGTATATTTCCTACTTGTAGGAGATCGACAAAATAATATGAACACCGGACATATCAACAATATTTATTAATGAGATGTTGTACCAGAACGGCTGCAATTCTTCGCGGAATAGATATGTAGTGGGTTTGAATAATTCCTAACGCAATGTTGTTCCATTTTGGTACCACAACAATCGCCAATTGTTTCAACGGTGGCGAAGATGGAAATCTTCTCCTTACTTTCCGCTTTACAACCTCCTACAGGGGCTTCACCATGTTCATGTTCGTTTGTCATATATTTGCAAACCGACAATTACTGGTCTTCTATATTATCTTTTTCTATCAATAGGAGTGGATGTCCACTCATTACGATTACAGTCTGGCCTCCCGTCGTGTGCTTAATTATCTTTTTCCCCAGCCATTTTAACTTGTTCTACTGTAACGAAAATATTAAAACAACATTGTAACTTAGGTTAGCTGGAGATACCGTGTGTTTTAGAGCGGGCATCATATATGTAATTATGAATGGATAAATGGCGTTATTATCATAACTACAATTAATGCCAATAATTTCCTGCGAGCTTTGCCAGATAGCTTAAGTGCAGCAGGTTTGTGTCCCATATTTATCGAAGTCTGACTTAATCGCTAACCGTATCGGTACTTTGTAGGTTAGTAAATTTGCCGGTTGTATAATAATCACGAGAATATTATCTTATTTTTATATCATATAACCGCATTTATTTAAGGTCTCTATCATTAAATTAAATATGTGTATTTGTAAATGTTTGACTTGTATGATATTTGGACTTTCTGTTATTATTTTTGCCAACTGCGCTATGGTTCTCTTAAGAATGAGAGTTGTATTTATTTATTGTTAAGTAAGATAACGGCATCTGAATTGTAGCAACTGCCCAGGCAAGAAGTTATAATTCTTATCTAAATCTCTTATGATTCTTATCTAAAAGGATTGGGCCAAAGAGGATGTGACTCGAGGAATGAACAGAAACTTATTTCGAGATGACCTACTAAAAGAAAACAGATTGGAAAGCTCGTTCTGCTCCTTCCGTAAGATAATGTTATAGAGATTAAGGAGAAGTCGAACTTTAATAAAATTAACGAAAGAACAACCTAGAAAACGTAGAACATAGCCTGAGATATTGTCTTACTACCTCAAGGACAATGTATAGCTAGTTATATACGATTATATAATAATCTTAATTTCGTCAGGTTTAAAGTATTCGTGGAACTATAAACTTCTAGGGCGTATAGACATTCAAGAAATAACGCTTTCTAAACAAGAAATTGATCCGAGAGCACAGAGAATTTAGGGATGCACAAAAGCATTATTTATTATCGACAATCACCGCTATATCTTTCAAGCTATTTGCAAATTCAACATTAGCACCATCTATTCTTAAAGTAAGATTCAGATGTACATGTGAGGGTCGACACATTATCGCAAATCTTTTAGCCCAATTCTCCTCAAGTTCATTCACAGTCCCCCAAGGGGAAATGCAATCCAACTGGTAGTCAACGGTACCTTCATATCCTTCAAAATCGTCAGCAAATGCGTGGGCTTTGCGCGATGCTACGCTAAACATATTAAAGTAATCATTCATATACACAGCGAAGAGCAAAAGGCCAACGATCGAAGTTTATATATTAGAAACTCGTTCAAGGCATACATGTAAAATTGGTGCTCACAGCTGGTCACTGTCTCTTTCATATGTCGGCTCTTCAACGCATCTTAGAAGCTTTTATTGAATTTCCTTTCATCTCCAAATGGCAATTCATGTATTTCCGTGTATGCGACCACGCTGAATGTGTAATTCTAATGACAATATGATGTGGTACAACCAAGTTTTCTGCATACAATGATATGGTGCCCGCAAAGAAGGAGCCGATCACTTTTTTCTTAAAGATCCCATCAAATATCAAATTAAGAGCTAGGAGTGTGGAATACAAGTTGTAGTAGATTAAAGACAAAAAAAAAAAAAAAAAAAAAATTTATATATATATATATATATATATATATAAAATAAGTTTCTATTAAAATGCACTAAAAGGTGAAAAGTAGATCTTGTCTCAGTCGCTTTTGTGTGCTTATACAGAAAAGCTTGAGGCATATAGGAAAAAAATTTAATTTTTTTACACAATAAAGTCAACCACTCTGTCTTCATTTCAAAACAAATAGACTTTCATATAATCCTTCTCTACATTCCCTCCATTGTCCTTGTTATCGATATTGTTTCAACAACAAGTTTTATATATATAGTTTTTGCATTGCTGTATATTCGGATGCATGCATATATATGTGTATTTTTATATATGTATAGACGAATGTTCTCATTTTCAATAAGATTATGTGCTATCGCTCATTTATATATTTATATATTTTTTCTCTTTATACATGTATGTATAAGTTTTCTTTCTAGTTCCTAACGAATTGAATAGTTTCCATGGTTTATGTAACTTTGACCTAAGTTCTTTAAATTTTGTACATATTTACTAGCATGAGTTCTTGTGGTGTAAGAATTTCTGATTGTATAATCCTTATATTAGTTGCTATGTACTTTGTAACTAATAGCTGAATAATAATGTGAATAACGCCGTTGACGATAGACATAACGACATAAACAGGCAAACTGATCTCCAATAAATTAGATACGCGGATGTCACAAAGAATATATTTTTCCTTGCTCATCTACCATCTTAATGCGCACCTTCGCAAAAGAAATGGGCTATCACATACTAAAAAATCAAATATGTTCTGTCTTATGTACATCGAATACCCAAATTGTCAAAGAAATTCCAATATCCAAATTGATCTCAAAACGTTACGTGTTATGTGGATGGATTTGCACCAAAAATGCCAACTCTCGTTTCATTTCTCTTAAACTACAATCGAGGTCAGCTATTTAAACGCAACACCCCAATTTTTCGTAAATATACCAACATATGATGGAATCTATCTATTAAATCCAGAACAAGCCAAAAGCGTCACGTATTAAAAACCTACATTTTCAACATAAAGTGACCAAACTTGTTTAAATGGTTGAAAAATGAACGAAAATTGCTAACTTTAAAAACGTAACATTAGAGGCCAAAAAATATTCAGGTTTGGTTTGTTTGCATTCACTATTTGACACCAACATCTCTTCCTTTTCATGAAAATATGATAGTGTATTCATCAATTTGATGTGTATGGTATGCACGCATATCTGTTTATTTAAATTTCATTTTTATGCACAGTAAATAAAATATCAAAAAATATCTTTAACGAATAATGTTTGCTGTACTTGTTGGGATTGCCGTCATTTGCACAAGCACCTAGGGCCAGAATTAATCGTGAACCTTGGCACGCGTTTGTCTAATGTGACTTTAAGCGTTAGCTAAAGTAATTGGCCTCATAGACTTCGGCTAACGGAAAAGAGTTCGCATGGTTAAGTCTCCTATGCCATAGTAATTATGAGTTAAGTAAGCGCGGCTGCTGATTGTTTTGTGACACTCTTTTGTCCATGTACACTGAATAATAAAACATCTTTGTGGCAATTTGAATGTATTATGTAAGATTTCTGGCGCTTTTTCCAAACATTGAATTTTATTTGTTTCGTTTGTTTCTTTTTCTAAAATATTTAGCCTGGGGTTTTGCATAGAGTTTAACGAATACTTTGCTTACCTGAAATCCCAGATGACTCCACATTTGATTGTCGCTTGAAAACACACATGCTGTATAATGACGGCCCCGATAATGATAGTAACGTACCGAGTGCGCTAAGGCCACCGGTATCGCCGTTGTCACTATTAGTACCCAGGCCATTATTATTGCCCTGTCAGAATGAGGGATAGTAACAAACAAAAAAATACCTTTAAATGAAATATCTAATCACCTCTTTTTATTAATAGCAACCGTTATTTGCGTAACAAACACTTAGTAACTTACATTGAGGCGTTGCGTTCGGTACGTAATGACATACTTGTCACGGGATGTACAACTGCCAGAAAGCGATCAAAGGACATCAATACCAATGTATAGACACTACAATGACAGGTTACAACAATCATATACTGTACATATTTACACCACGGATCGCCGAATGGCCATTCAGGCAGCATATAATCGGTAGCTGTGAACGGTACGCAAAATATAACAAATAATATATCTGAAACCGCTAAGTTGATAATTAACAGATTAGTAGTGGACCGCATTTGTTGATTAACCATCACCACTGAAATGAAAAAAAACAACAACTATAAACTAATGATGTCACTGAAAAACTTGATCGCATAACAGTAAAGCTAAACCAACTTATATATATATATATAATAGATAATTTAAATGCTTTTTCTACTAAACCCATTGAAACGAAATGAATAGTAGTCGCACTGGGCAAAGTCCAGTCCCTTTACCTCATTTGCTCGCTTTAATTGCATAAGTGAGGGCAACTCGTTATGCACGGTTCTCTTCCAATCCTACCAAACAAAAAATATTACCTTACGTATCGTCAATACGGATATGACTTTGTGCGACTCCATTTATCTCGGCTTATGATCTTTTTCGTGTATTATTGTCGTATATGGTCTACTTTTCATCGCTTTTTATATATCGTCTACTATTAGTCTCTTCAAAAAGGGCTCGACTTTATTTTCTTTCAGTAGCAACTAGCAGATGGAAATCGGTCGAATGAATTTTTCACTGTTAATTTAATTAGTTAATAACATCAATTCAAATACCGAGGTTCGTTTTGTATGCAACCTTACGCAAAATCTTTGAAACGGTTTTGTGGTCAATGTGTAGATCTGTGGCGATGCCATCAATTTCTTCAAGACTTTCATCGAGTTGTCCAGAGCACGATGCGTCTTTAATATCGAAATTGCCATAGCAGAAACGAGCAAATGGTTCGCGCGCTACTGATTTGAATAAAGCACCACGAATTTTTTCATGATCCGACAAACGATTATTGCCTCGCTCAAAGTGATATTGTAAAATATAACGAACTTTTTGAACATTCTGGTTCACTCTCAACACGCAATTCCGACTTCCGTTTAAATTGGACCTTCTACGCTTTTACAGGCGCTATAATAAGAACTGATAAGAGTAGTTTTACCAAAGTAACGCCACTCTACATTCACTTAAGGGATAAACGCCGCAATCTTTCTATTGACACAATATGTTTAATCTTAAGTACATTCACCATTAAGTTTAATTTGCTTGTTTTAGCTGCTTGTTTTAGTTTTTCAAATCATTTTTTTCAGGTCTCTCTCTGTGGCTGGAAGTACGTCTTCGTATATTAAAAGAGTTTGAAAGTGAAAAATATCTTTAAAATATGAGTAAAGGTGAACGTAAGAAGACACTAATCTGGTGAATATCATGGAGAGCAATAACTACGTTAAAGGAATCAATTCATCACCTTCACGTAGTAGGAAGTTTCGGGTTGGATACAAAATCTGCTTTTCTGTTTTGAGTAATACTTCCTAATTATTTGGATTAAAGTTCAGATCGCTACCCAAGACGCACCATCAATAATCCTTGTTTTTAAACTTAATCTGTGGATTTACACTGTCTATTAATGTCTACTAATATTTTCCATCACGAAAGTTCTAAGAGTCATCTAACGGTCAAATAGACAGTCAGAGTGTTTAACGAGTTTTTCAGAGTATTATCATTGAAAATTTATGATAAAAAATCAATAATTTGTAAATGGGATCCAACGGTCGATATTGTAATAGTTAATTCCCGGCTGTAAAATAAAACTAACATAACGTAATATAATGTAGAAATTTAAATTTTCCTTTTATCATCACCACTGCATTAACCGAACAAATTCTCATTGCCTGTTTGGCAGCTCATCTACAAGCAGACGAAAGCAATTTTGAAGCATATGAATAAAAAACAAAACAACAATAAGAATAAATAGTCCTAAAATTATTTACTTTGGACAATGAAATTCATTCATGAGCAAATGAACACGAATGCAAAATAACAGGGAAGACGAGAGGCATTACAATGTGATTGGACAGACTTAGCAACTGAAATTGTTTGTCTAATTCCAAGGAAAATGCGCTTTTACGTATAGAGCGCCGGTGCCAAAGAGGAAATAGCATAGTGTACACAATGAGAAGCAAAAGAAAAAATTAGCATTTCATCTTTCCGAACAATAGCATTTTCGAAAATAAAGTGAAACAATGCATTCAAATGCATTCCTTTAGCGTTGGATTTCAAATTAAACATCCGTAAAAGGCAATCATAACCTTAGGCAATTTAGATGAAGCCTTCAGTTAAAAACTATTACAAAGCTTCAAGTCATTTATCATATGTATAGGCATGTATGTGAGATCGGTCTGACAGGAATGTGAATTCAAGGTTATTCTTTAACATTTATTTCCTAAAAATTTCACAGAGTATTTTGACAAGTTCAGCGTTTATACTTGGAGAATGGGATTTGTGATCCGGTTTTGCCAGAAAAATTAGACGAAATTGGATACCGTTCATTGCTATAACGGAACTCTGCAGTGTATGACTACGCTAAGTTATCCGCTTATAAAATTCAAGTATTTAATGAAGAAAAATTATCTGTTCTAATGAGTTAGTAGAGTTAAAGACTGCATGGGGTTCGACAGATAAAATTAGTTTCCGAAAGCCTAACAACGCAATATGTACGGAAAGTTCTCAGAGCTAAAAAACGCATCTTTCGTTTACTGTCCCCAAACTCAAATTTTTGTAATTTTTATTTCGATTTTTCTATTGCTCCCTACGGCTTTTCTAAAGCATTTCTAACTATGTAGAAAGGAGAATAAAACCATCTTACAAGTTAAGTTTGTTTCTTTTATTTTTTCATATTTCTGATTTTTTGTTTTGACAGAGGAAGTAGACGCAGTTGTAGAGAGGTACGCTAAGGTTATATAGTGGGCTCCCCAATTTTGCGCAGCGTCATGAGTTCTTGATTAGAAATATATTTTTTCAGTGCATTAAAATCAACTTCAACTGTAAAACTTGTACTACGTACTTCGGTAAACAGTCATATAAATGTCGTGAAATCCTGAAGACCATCTTTTCAGCTTTGAAAATTGTAGCTTCTTCTTGTTTGAGAACAAACAGAAATCTTTCAATGCCAAAGGAGATCTTTGCGATGAAGGTTTAGTGAATTCGATGCTTTCAACGCTTAAAAGAGTTGTTGTTTATTGAGAAATGGGAACGCTCAAATTGTTGTGGTGTTGAATTTTCCGACGTTGAGTTTATTTCTCTGCAGAGTTCCAAAAAGGCGTTTTTTTAGCAATGAGAAGGCATCTTTTTAACGATCCTTAAGGTACACAGGACGCAAAGACAAAATTTCCACAAGGAACACAAATTTTACTCATGCTCAAAAATATTTACATCTATTCAATGACTATTTAGATAAAAACCATGAACGCCTGCTGCATGTTCAATCAGGAATTAGGCGGTAAAGTGTGGTTTCGGACAGAGATCGATCTACGTAACATCGTCTTGGCATAGTTGTTGACTTAATCTTTGATTAAGAGATCACAACAACAAAAGTACTCTCAAATCCGCTTTGTAGGCTATACAAAATTTCCAGCTTAAAAGAACTCCACCGATTGCTCGTAAGGAAAAGGGTTCTGACAACGTACATGAAAAATGTCTTCACGAAAAACAATTAATTTTTGTGAACTCCTTGTTAAGGTAGAATTGCCAAATTAGAAAATTTTCTGGTCACTTGAATTGAAGCCGTTTACGTTTTACGCAACGGGAACGTTTTTATAACCATCACCGAGGTATGAGAGCTACGTTTATTTTGTTAAAACCTTTGCAAATTTCAGAAGGAAGCATCAAAGACACCACAAAGTATATATATTCTTAATCAGCATCGAATTCTGAGTCGATTTAAACATATCCGTCTGTCCGCCTGTGCAATGTGTTTTATAAGCATTCTCCTGGTCGCAAGAGTGAGGTTATCCAATTTAAATTTGGCAAAACCATTGGAAGTTCTTGTACGTAGGTTGCTATTGACGACGAGCTAAATCAATCGAATGTTGAAAACAGTGATTTAAATATCTATATAAGACCGTTTCTTTAACTTTATACTAAGTTAAGGAAAGATTTGTTCTTTAGTTCTGTAATAATTCGTATAAAAGCTATTGATAATTTACTTAACTTTAAATAAATATACTCAATCAAAATATTTGAAATTTTCTCTAGCAGTTAAATGAGTTATGGCTTTTCCATTAATATTTAAACCGAAGTTCAAATGCAATAAATGCTATCTATGGACGATATATTTAATCGAGATAATTTAATGTAAAATGTAACAAAAGCAAACAAATATGTGGAGATAGTTACGCATCACTACCAGTCTGTAGCATTGTTGTTTTGTTCGATATTATTTTATTTTATTTTATTTATTGCTGTTTAATTTAACTTATGCAAGCTCTGCATAATATTATACAAAATTTTACTCTAATTCTAATAACTTAATTTAGCACAACTGTGACTTTAAGCAATAACCTACATTACACATTAACCTCGTTTTACCAAATACACTAGCGCAAGCACAAATAAGTTACGATATAAATTTACCTATAAGCAATAGTAAAGAGATTAATAGTCGGTAAGAAATGATCAGTAAAACAAAACGCAACTAAATAAATATCGTGTTTATCGTGTTTCACTACAGGCCACCTCTACAACAAATTTTTCATTATCATCACAATCAGCATACTTAATAGTTTCACTATACAAGCAGTGTTCCGGTGGCATCTTCACATCGTTCGTTTTTTTCTTCTTCTTTTATATACCGTATTTTTAAAAATGCTGCAATTTTTAAGCAGTAAAAAAATTAAGCAAAATTAATTATGTGATCGTAAGTGAATAAATGTGTGGGATACTAAACACTTGTTCGTACAATATTAATTAATTTTTTTATTAATCGTCCTTCCTAAATTGGTTTTGGGTATTGTGATTCGATATAATTGGCAGCTCTTTCCAATTTTGGTTTTGTGCCTCTTATTTCATAAACTGTCTCATGTCAAGCATTCTATTATGTAAATAAAACGTAATTCTTCTTTTGTAAACTTTTAAATTGCGGAACTATCTCGCACTTTTTTGCTTGTTTCTATTTCCTTTGAAAGCTGTTAGGACAGTACAAATGAAGGTGGGGTGGGCTGCAGGGTAGTAGAACTAAACTAACAATCTTTTATTTAACTAGATCTCCTTTGGGAGGTGTACCTTGAA